GCCATGTTGGTCTGCCGGCTTCCACCAGTTCAGTTTTTCAGACTGTGTTTCTCCTTCCCAGTTTTCTTACTTCACTTCCTCTCAAGACTCTAAAACAGAGCATACAAGATGCTATTTGATCCTAAGTATTTTTTTTAATTGTTTGATACTACTGGGAAGCAGAAGAGAATTATGCTTTTCTCTCTCCACCCTCTTACTCCTCCTCTACCCCCTAAGTGGGGGTGGGGGTATAGTACAAAAGTTGACTATATCTCAGAAATTTGTGAAGTTGTTCCTTTGCTTACTTTATATAAATACCCTCTCCACCTCCCAACGCCCCCCCCCAGTTGTTTAAAGATATTCTACTTTTTCTTAGATGTTCCCATGGAAGAATTTTTAGTTCATTTTTAGCATTCAGTTTGGTGGTTATTCCCAGGGAGCTAGCTATTCTTCTGAATTACTCAGTGATTATTCTGTACCTGAATGAGGAAAATCTCTTGGCTCACAGAGGTTTCTTTCCTGGTTAGACTTACTCCCTGACCTATCAGTCACCTCCTTTCCTTTCTGTGGTTGTGGCTCAACATGTCTCAGAAATGGATTCTCTATCCTAGTTTTTTCTTGCAGCAAACTTGCCAGACTGGCTGGATTCCCTTTTGGTTAACTTGGGCATCTTCCAGTATCTTAAGCCAAGTCTTGGCCTAGTCTAATGAGAGGAGCTGCTAACCATCCTTCAACATTATCTTGCCCAATTTCAAGGCTGCGTTGCAACAAGTAAACATATATGTATCATAAATGCCTGTGATTGTATATTTTGGTTTTGTTGTTTTATCAATTAATCACCTGTGACTTTTAGTTTCTTTGGTTTGGTGTTTCTCTCCAGTAATCACCCAACCCTTATTAATAAATTATTCCTGTACATAGCTATAGTCTTTCCTTTTTCTTTCTGTAGGGGTTTCTATAAAAATATTCATGGATATGGGGCACCTAGGTGGCTCAGTTGGTTAAGTGTCTGACTCTTGATTTCGGCTCAGGTCATGATCTCAGGGTCGTGAGATTGAGCTCTGGGTGGGACTCTGTGCTCCATAGGGAGTTTGCTTGAGATTCTCTCTCCCTCTGCCCTGCTCACATTGTATTTTTTTTTTTGCATTGTTGGAAATTTTTAATTAAATGGAGGTCATTTGTAGCAGCTTATGAGATTTATATCACTGATTTTTGTTTGAGAGAAACTCTTGAACCATTGCGTGTTTTGGTCAAGAAGTAGGAACACCGTCACCTTTTCATAAATTATTTTAGGTAAATTTAAAATTTCATCCTAGATGTTTCCCTCTGCCCAGCACACTTTCCTTTATCACCACTCCCTTGGTGCTTGTTAACAGAAGCAAATTAATTTTAATATTAGCTTAAGCAAAATATGATTAGGAAGACCAGTCTGCTGCAGAAGTAGCCATATATATTTCAGAGCTAAATACAAATAATTTCTAAGTTGCATGCTGTTTTGGATAGTCCATGTTACATCTCTGCTTTATTAGGAAGGATAATTATGATTCAGATGCCCTAATTTTAACCTTGACTGACATCATTGCAGTTTAAGACATTTAACCAGAATTTATTAGATAGGGGTATCTCTAAGATTGTGTTATCACATATATTACTGCTGACTGGTTTTATACTGCTGATGAAACAGCTGCAATGATTATTTTGTTCTTGTAGATTTTGTACATGAAGATAGAATACAAAAGTCCCAGGAAACTCACCATATGTATTTTTAAACCAATACAAATGAAAACTGTGTTGGCCTGTAGCAATTTAAAGTGTATTCTTGTATTTATACTATTCATCAAAGTATTAAGCGTGCATTTGTTAAAAGTTCTGCATTCTGTTCATGTCTGAGTTGAAAGCCTAATTAATGTAAATGTGCATTTTTCTGCATGGTATTCATGGTTATGTCAAAGATATCTTTATACTGGATAAGATAATAACCAGTGCTTATTGAAAGTCTGTAGTGGGTGAGGCACTTTATATATAATTTAGAATTTCATTTAAGTCTTATAAAAGGTGTGTCAACTAATCATTATCTCCATTTTGTTATGAGGATGTTGAAGTTCAAAGAAGTTAAGAATCTTGCTTACATCATGTAAGCAGGTTACTGGAGGTTAATTGGATTTGAATCCTGGCCTGACTCTAGTGCTCATGTGTGCCGTATTTTTTCTTCATAATATGTCCATTCTGCAGACTGTACAAATCCTAAAAAGTTAACCTCCTTTTCCGCAAACTTGATGAAAATCTAGATTTACTAATAGACAAATTTGGGATATCCTTTACTCTTGTGAGATGATTCATCTCATGTTCTTTAAATGACCCAACATGACATTAAAAATATTATTTGCTTTCCCATAGTTCAGTTTGTCACTCAACATTTATGAGTACCTGCATTGTGAGATTTTATCAAGTGAGGCAAACCTGGGTTTTGGCACTCTGTATTCAGCACATACTTCATGAACGCCTGTTTTATGCCAGGTTCTAAGTGTTAGAGATGTCAGTGGCTGGCAAAGGCAGACACAGTTCCTGCTGGCTCTGGAGCTAGTATACCTGGGTTTCAAGTCTTGGTTCCACTTTTACCTCTTAATAACTGTATGATCTTAGGTTCTTAGCCCTCGTAAGTCTCTGTTTCTTCACCTGAAAGAAGGAAAGAATTATAGTACCTTTCTTAGGGTCATTGTGAGGATTAATTGAGATAACGTAGGTTCGTAGTGTTGGTCAGGCATGTAATGAAACAATAAGCATTACTTTTTTTTTTTTTTAAAGATTTTATTTATTTATTTGAGAGGGAGAGAATGAGAGATAGAGAGCACAAGAGGGAAGAGGGTCAGAGGGAGAAGCTGACTCCCTGCTCAGCAGGGAGCCCGATGTGGGACTCCATCCTGGGACTCCAGGATCATGACCTGAGCCGAAGGCAGTCGCTTAATATCCTCTTTAAAATAGCAGTTGAACTATAAAGAAATTTCTTTTAAAATAATAACAAGCTTCATTAGTATTATTAGCTTCAGTCTGGGATGGTAGTCATCTTTCTTACTTGCAAAGTCTCAGTAAGTGTTTCATTTGCTCTGCACACAGCCATATACATTTTGGAAATATAGTACACTATAATCTGTGTTTTCACTTTCCATATTTTAAAGACAGTGCTAGAGGCATTGCATGGGATAATTCCAAATACAAGAGTATGTATGTTTGGCTTGTGGCAAGTAAACTATTTTTTATTACTTTTCTTTTGGGAAAAAGAAAATTAAGAGTCACTTTGTGATTTATTCTGTAAAGCAATGAGAATAATAAGAATTTCTGTGAGAAGAATTTTAAGGAAGAAATTCTTCATTGACTGCAAAGAAAAATATGACAACATCACTCTGACTTATGGTTGGCATTTTGTATGATTTCTTGAGTCTTTTTTAATGGAAAGTATTTCTAAATATTTTAAGAAATGGAAAAATTGAAAATGATATTTTCTGTATACTTAACCACACAGTATTTATGCACTTGGCTATGTAAATCCAAATGCAACTGGCTGAATTTAAAAAGGTACATGTATAAAGAGTTGTACAAGAGTAATTAATCTAGCCAAATATCCTTCTAGATTATTAAATTGTTTTAGAATATTATGATCTATCAAGAGTGTGAGGATGAGTTAAATGCATCCAGATATGATTTCTTTTAGAGACATACACTAAAATGAATGACAGATTTCTTTAAGTAGTAGTTTCCATCTGTAATAATTTGTTAGAACAGTTAAATTCTTTTTGTGAATTCATGCAAAAACTCACACTACCTCTAAGGAGATTTGTTCAGTGATATCTCCTGTAAAAAGATATGTCAGGGCTATTCTCATTATCTGCAATGAAATCTTGTTAGACAAAATCTTGCTTTGACATTAAATCATTCTCATTTTTTTCATTACCGAAGTCCAAATGCCAAGAAAAAGTCAACTCACAAGCTGGAGAGGTATGTAAACAGTTCAATTACAGTGAACTGTTCTGAAGTAGATTTAAGTATATTTTTCCATTTTCATAGTTCCTTTAAAGCCTGATTAAGCCATGTTAAAGCACATAAGAGATAATTTGATGTTTTGTTAGAAACATTTTTCCCGTTATACATAAAAGAAGATTGTGTGGTTGATATGGAATTTTGGTGTTTTTTTTTTATGTGGATTTTTAAAAGGACTTTATAATAGATTTTAAAATATTTACTATGTGCAGGCAACTTTTGCATTACCTTTGATTTTGTAAGTGGAAGTCAGTTTTGAGAATGAATATTAGCTTTGCTGCTAATTTATTCTAAGTTTTTAATGTGTAAGCAAACTTTTGGCATATATGCTAATTTATGTAACCTCAGTCAGGATTTAAATTTATTAAGATTAAGATTTAGTTACCTGTTTTAATGGTTAGATTTTAAAGGAGCAAATTTAAGATATAATTTATTCTTAGAAGCTAAAGAAAATGAGGGGCATAGAAATTATTTAGCTGCTCTTTGGGAGGGAAGAAATGCACTCAAATTTAGAGCTAAGTTTCTGCATTATTTCACTGAGAAGCCAAAATAAAACAATTATAACTTCCTATTTAGCATGAGGTTAAAGACATTAACACAACTCAGTGAATTTGAGATTTGCATCAAAATAGGTATTGAAAAGAATAAAGTTCTTTCATAAGAGTAATGTTTAGTGGCTCATTTAATATTTTTGAGCTTGAAAAATGGATTCATAGGATGGTTCTGAAAATGAACTCCTTTATTATTTTGATACCACATAAGCTGTTAAGGCTAAGTTATCCATGCTGTGTTGGAGCTCAGCCTGCAAAGAAATGAATTTACTGATTTTTGTCACTTGCAAGACCAGCCAGGGTTACTGTAGCCTGCCAGTTGACTGCATCAATGCATAGTACTGTGTGAAATCATCAAGTGGTACTCTTTGTTTTGAAAGTGACACATGTAACTTTTTATTATAACTATTAATACAAGCAAAGAAGCTAGTAGTGCTTTTATTTATTTTTTATTGTCATTACGCAGTTTTCTAGGAATGTTCAGCAATATGTCAATTCAGCTATAATTCTAGTATGAAATACAGGAACTGTGAATAAGCTTTTGGTGCCTGCCATTAAAATTAAATCAATAACTTTAATACCTTCTTAACAATTACATTTGGTTTCACTAGAGCTCTGTCTTACTTAGTACATCTGCACATTTCTTTTGCTCTCCGTAGTTAATTTTTACCAGTTCAGTTTCTTTGTAGTTTTATAGAAAAGATTTTAAATCTTATAGCCCCTTAACATATTTTATTACCATTTACTTAAATGAATGATAGATAATGTACATGCTTGTTCATTGTGCAAGTACCCAAGACATTCTGATTGAAAGACAGCTTCAGGGGAAATAAACAAATAGCAAAAGCATTCAGTCTTTATTTACAATATATAGAACATCATTGTTTTCATTATAAGAGTCTGATCAGCAGGAACACCCTTGAGAAGGACATCTTTAGCAATAGAATTTACATACCCTTAGCTCACAGTAATTGATTAGCAGCAGGGCTCTGAGTACAGAGCTGGCCCGGCACACGTTATTCGGGATGCCTTTGATGCTGTGGTTTTCCGAAGCTTGCTGGCTGCATGCTTGTTGCCTTTGTTCATGACACAGGTAATTACTTGATAAAATGAAGGGCATCGCTGTGAACAATTGACCCTTTGGAACAATCCAGGCTGGTCAGCAGTCTAAAACCACACTTTAAGGCCATCATTATAGCCTCAAACTTAAGAGTTTCCAGGGTACAGACAAAGGTGTTGTCTTCTTTTAGTACTAGTCGAGTGCCATTTTCAGACTTTATGAAGTATTTAAATTGAATGATATTTGATGATATTGAAAACTCCTCTGGAAATCCATCCAGCCTGCTTTTGGACACCAGAACAATGCGAGATTTGATTTTTGATATGAAATCAGGAGCATTACAGAAAATTCTCAGTCCTTGTGAGCGATCATGGTTATCTGTTATTTCCAAGAAAGTAGTCTCTCTGGGTGTTAGCTGTTCTTTTTCCCACCTGGATTTCACTTCCTCCGCCAGTCCCTTGAGCTGAAAGAATTCTGCTTCTTGTGCAAGAAGTTGATTTTCTCGAAACCCTTCGGGCAGTAGAAGTTCTCCATTTCGTAGGAAGTTTAGGACATGCCTGAAGAGGAGTCCATCCCTGTCTATGAAATAATGACCATCAGCATCAAACGGGCAGAGGATTTTTCCGTTTACTATACCTTCAAGGAAAGTGTCTGGGTACTTGGTCAGTGTTTGTTTTTGAGTAATGTATAAATATCCACCAACGTTGAGGGTCATCAGTGTGGATTTGCAGTTCTTTCCTCGGTCAGCATCTTCCAAGCTGTTGTGTTTCCCTTCATACTCCTTTTCTTTTTCTCTTCTGTTTATTTTACGCTCCATTTTTGAAAATGCTATTTCAGCCTGTTCTTCTTGGCTTTGAGATTTTTAAAAAAGAAACACTACCACACAAGCACGCCTTTATTCAGCCCCAGTCTGGTGATGGAATGGAAATGCGGGCAGCGTCGCCTGCGCTGTCAGCTCGGTTTTGCAGTAGGTGGCGTATCAGCTATGTGTGCGGGAGCTTTCTGGAGTAAGACGGGGGGGAAAAAAAAGATAATTTGCATTTAACTGTGTCGGGGAAGGAATTTGTTGTTTAAAGATTTTCATGTATATTCTTTGAAATAATAAGAGTTACTCAGAATAAATTGAATTTCCTCTTAGCAGTTAAGCAATTACAAACGTTTAATTCTCCAGCTGAGTTTGAGCGTGTTTCCATTTCTAAATGTCTTTGAAGTTTGCTCAGTCAGGCAAGCTTAATATTGAATAATATTGTTAACTTTTGGAGAGTAATGTATATTGAATTAGTATTATCTTTTAAAGTAAATCATAAACAGGAAATCTAAAGAAAGGAAGTAGGTGTATAGAAACTTTTCTCCCATAAAAAGTCACATATTTCACAGGGGTGTAGTCATTTTAGAGACCCAAATGAGAATATTTAAAACTATTATTTGTGATATTGCACTTGAATTTAATTGGATTTGCATGTAATTCTGATTTGGGGATTTTTAGCATGTGAGAAAAAATTTTCTTAAAGCCCTTTAACAGAAGAGTCTATTAATGTATTAATTAATTAATTAATTTATTTATTACCCTAAAGGGAAAACATCAAATATATAGGCTTTGCAGTAATCATTTACATTTCTTTTTGGTTAAGATTTTCTGTGGAAAATTCATAAGCTTCTTTTGCCCTAAAGCTGCTCCAGTGCTGAACAAAGACTTGGGCTGCTATAGGAAGTACTGTAACTGCGTGTGTACGTGTGTGCGTATGCACGTGCATGTGTGCGTGCGTGCGTGCTTTCACACACGTGCATGTGTTTCAGAAGATAAAAGATTCAGAATACCTGCTATAAAATAGTGTCATGGTAAATTTCACTGTTTTTTTTTTTTCATT